AGTATCAGTAGAAAAAATATCATAAGTACTTAGGTTTATATGTATGATTGCTAAACAGTTTACATTTACATATTAAGCTGACCCCAACTGATATAGATTAAGAGTAGTAAGATGGTGACATTCGTAGAAAATTAGAGAAAATTAAGGTTTAGTACATCTAATAATAGTCTCCTTGGGAGGAAGATGGGTGGTTCCTCTTGGAGTCGATTGTGGTAAAGTCTCAGTGTATTCGTCTCACTGGGCTAATTGACCTACCTTTTTATCCTCACCTACCATCTCTCACTGGTATCCCATCACCATATACCGTTAGCGCAGGCAAAATTACTATTTCATTACCATTCATTGAAAACAATGGCGCTCCAATGCCGACAGAAGTGAAAAATTGAAAAATTACGTGTGTATTTTTGAATCGTCAGAGATGTCAGTTACGATAATGCTAATGGTATCGCGGGTATAATGGTTTGTTCCCATCTCAAAAAATTCCCAATGCAATGCCTAAAGAAGTTATAACTTCAAGAACAGTCTCCTGTCTAACAAATCAAAATATAAGTATATAAATCGTTTATAATTATAAGCATTAATGTTGTATAACAACACTAAGTAAACGAGTAGTATTGTAATTACTTCGTAGGTGTGGTATGCACTATGTAACACATACGGAAATATGATTCATATGACCAACTCACATAATCTGAAATATGCATTCCGAATGAACGGCCAAACATAAAAAAAGTGTACTAAGCAAAAGTGGTTAAATTTAAGTTTGAATAAAATATTTCTTTCTTTCGAAGTCTTGAATATATGAATTAGTTAATCAGATTTACTTTTAACATAATCTTGTACTTTAAAATACCCGATAATCAATATTAAGAACTCATCCATAACTACTTGAAATCCTTGACGTTTTCTTCCATTAAAGTGCATTCTGGTACCGGTATTGAAGCTTAAAATGTTATAGAACATCGAACTTAGAATGCCAATGCAAATATTCGACATCGTTTACGGAGAACCGACTAAACTATGACAATAAAATAGTGAACACATATATATACACATTATAGCAGGGTCTGTAAAATTTTGTTGACAGTTAAAATTGAACCCTTTTTCCAACAGCATTGAGTTGAATTTCGCTATATATTATGGACTTGGTATTTTGGCATAGGTAAAGCATACAAGTAAATTCCGCAATTTCTACCTTTCTATAACCGATATCTCACGTTCCCATGGGTAATCTTATTTTATTCCAAATTGCATAAAACATATATTTAGAATATTTTTTTTCTATTTCCAAAAACATTTCCTGGTGGATCATTATGAGAAATAATACTTGTCAAAACCGTTATAATGAATTAGACCGTTCGTAACATGTATGTATATATTACGCAATAATATATTCACCAGATCAGTGCCAATTTTGATTATTCTAGTTTACAATCAATAGGGTTTGATTGCCTATAGATTTTATATATATTTTTGTGACAATTAAAGCTGTTTTTTTTTTGTAGAATAAAATATTAAATATTGAAGCTCGTGATGTGAAATTCGACTGTCTCTACCAATTCCCTGAGAATAACACCGTGATGATATAGGCATATAAAATAGCCACATAGATTATTTCAACACGTATTTTTTTTAGATAGTAAGTCATACGGACTATTTATAAAAATTGTTAAAATTCAAAACGTAATATTACAATATTTGACTACAGTTACAACTTTTAAATGAAAGGTACAATTACAGGTACAATTTTTAAATGAAAAAAATTCCCTTATTTTTTTTATCTCTTTTAAATAAATAGACAATATTTTGTATTGTATAAATTTTTAAATGTAACTACATATATAGAATTATATAAAATAAATATTATTATATACCTACATGTTTAAAAAAAATACTTATTACGTATAATGATATTTTTAAGTGTTTTTATTTTTTATATTTACCAGAAAAAAATAGTACTCTCCAAAAAAATCTGACATCAACGAAATATATTTATTTGATAATTTTGATTCAGATAATTTGATAACAATTAAAAAATAATTACTATTCAAGACATAATCTATTCTCTGAATGATAATTTTATCATTCGAAATAATAAGTAGATAAATTATTACTGCCAATACGTTGAATAAAACAGTAATTAAGTGATGTCTGTACATTGAGAATATTTAAGTGACCATTGCGAAAGGCTTTTGTAAGAATAACAAAACCTAAACAATAATTCAGTATAAATCAGCAATAAATCTATATAAAGCGATATTATGATTTTCCTGTGACCTTAGAAGACCTAAGCACGCAAATTCACAAGAAATATATAATAGATAAAGTATTTCATGAATGAAGTTTACTTCAGAAATATTTTAATATTCGTTATAATATTTTACTTAAATCATCATCAATTGAACTTCTTTTAGGGTTCCGTACCTCCAAAGGACGGAACCCTTATGGGATCACTTCGTTATCCGTCCGTCCATCTGTCCCTTAACCCTTTTTCTTAGGAACACGTGGAGGTATCAAGTTGAAATTAAATTCAAATTCTCAGGTTTGCAATCTCTTAAAGCAGTGAAAAAATCAATCTTCTAAATCGACGCAATCAAAAGATGTGGCTGTTTATGTTTCATTTATAGCACATATTTTGACATTCGCAAAGAGCATCAAAACCTATAAAGTACTTCCCGTTGACCAAGAATCATGAAATTCGGCAAAAAGTAATGTCATTCTATACGAAACCCTGGTTGCGCGAGTCCCACTCGCTCTTGACCGGCTTTTTATTTAGTTATCTAATAGTACTTTATATTATTTGTATATATTTAACAATGGGAAAATGCATTAGTCAAGTTCAATAATTCCTTTATACATAATTCTCGCAATTCATACTTGTTTGTATTCTTTTGTATACACTTTTAACTTTTTACCTTCTTTTGTATAAATTTATTTTCTTTGTCTGAACATTTTATTTACTTAATTTCATTATAAAATTTAAATTAATAATACAATAGTCATATCGTTAAAGTCAAAGAAATTAGTAGACGCCTAATTTAAATTGAGAATTTGTCAATTTATCACTTTTTAATTAATATTTTGGGGCAGCTATTTATTTATTACTGCATAAGATTTGCATAAGATTTTGTTCCATAAAAAACCAATTATAATTTTGTAGGTAAGGAACCAACTCAGAAGTCAACTCTGTCGCTTGCAAAAAGATTTATAAAAATTAGTATAGAATTGCCAATGACATTACGTAACAATAAAGATAGGTGTATATATAACACGCAAAAATATATACTTATAAAAATATTTTAACTTTTTGAAGTCAGATGGAATGGAAAAGGCATTTCAATTATTACAACAAACCGAAATACGACGATAATGGTCAAAACAATAAATATGTATCATAAGCGTTGGTATGATTTCTTAATATTAACACTGGTTTAGTCATTTATAGCTTTAGATGCTATTCAATTTCCTTTTAGTTTACACTGATTTCAAAATAACGCAATTACACTGTTTCTATAATTTAAACCTACATCTCACTGACCCTATCTAAATAAGTACTTTATAAATACATAACATAAAGTTCATAATTTAAAACATATAAATGTAACTTACCTAGTGGCGATTAATATCTTTAATTACTATATTTATACAAGTTTTCAGTTGTTTATGGGTTAAACGTTTTGCAATATTTGTTTCATAAATTTAGGTAACTTTTCAATCGATCCCCGTAATACAAATATTTTGATCGATTTTCACAGCTCGTTAGGCTTATCTGAATACGAATTTAATTAGATAACAGATGGTCAGTCGAACAGGATCTTTACAACAGAGACGGAATGACGACATAACATCAAAAACATTCTTTTATATTATATAATTTTGGTACAAAACCTAAAAACGAGTAGAAGAACGATACACATAAATCAATAAATAAAATAAATTTGTGAAATATTTTTTTCTAAGTTACTGTAATTATTGCGTACATAAATATATGTATAATGTGTTTTATACGAACTTCATCGAATCATGGACGTCACAGTATACTCTGTTATGTTCATGATTCATGACTATTGGTGACGGTTACCACAATCTGGCGGGACGTCAGCTTGTTTGCAATTTTAAATTGCTTAAAAAAAACTTTATGAGAAGATTTTGGACCAAAATAAAGGGAATTTATAATAAAATTTAAATATTCTATATATCTATAATACATGTTTTTAATTAATAGAAAATCTAATATAGTTATCAAAAACATTTAAACATAAATTTTTACGCAAAATTATTTAGGAAAATACCATCAGGAAAATTTAATTTAAATTATTTTTGTGCCTAAGTTACCATAAATACAAATAATTAATTGCATTTTTTTATTACATCAGGTTTTAATTTATTTACCATCAGACAGGCTGTATGCTCGTTTGCCACTTTGTGGAATAATACTATTTACATATTTTATTATTAAACTACATAGACTGCCTTTTTAGTTCATCGTATCTCATTACACTAATATAATAATATAATATAAGTAAACGATGTCTGTGCATGGGAGATATTTGAGGGAAATTAATATAGGAATCTTAATACGACCGATTTAATTTTGTTCGTCTGCCTGTCTGTATGTTTGTTCAGGCATCACGTAAAAACTATTACACTAAATTGATTGCGACTTTCACATTTGGTCTAACTTAAAATCTGGTGTAAGTATTTTTTAACATAACTTACTTCTTTTTTATTCTAATTCTGAAATCCAAGCGTACGAAATACCGAGTAAAACGCTAGTTATATTATATGTGACTAAATCAATCTCTTCCAAAAAAACTTTTAAGTAGAGGAGAAAAAGTATTTATTTTATTATTTTTTATATTTCTTTTATATATTTATTATCTTTATTATTATGTGAATATTTTCAATATATATCTAAAGTATTTATTTTTATAAATTTACAAATATAAAATAGCAACAAGACATACATTCATAAAAATATAACCACTCAAATTACTTACCAAAAATCCAAGTGAAGTCCAATTACTTAAAAACACATTTAGTAAAATCCGCAACGTACTTAGACAAACATTTGTTTGAATATTCGATCAGCATGCGCACGCGGCAACCACCGCAACAACAACACAGCACCTTCAATGAACTAAAGCGCGCGCAGTGTGACAGTTGAAATATATACCATCTATAGGCGGGGATATACCTACACACAAGTATCAAAATTGCATTCAGTGTTTACATACCCTAATATTCTGTAAACAAATTATATTTACAATTATGTAATCACAGCTCAATGTTGATCACATTTATCTATTTATTTTTTCGTGTGAACCACAATATTAGTCACGTTTTAATTTATTTATATTTTATTCATTCATATTATGATTTGTTACTCTGGTTCGTCCGCACAAACCAAAGCAGAAATCATTTTATATTAAGAAATACTTAATTCACATTTATCTTTTTATTAATTATATTGATGCAAAAGGATACTAGTATCATATCTCAAATCCCCAAAATAAAATATAACAAGTGTACCATATAGGAATTTGCATCTCAATTTCAGAATTATTTTCCAAAAATGTTGGAATCCTAAAAATGTTATCCTCTTAGTATAAAACCAAAAAGCTTTATCTGTTTTATTTTTTCATCAAATACAATAACAGATTAGCACCAACACGATTGATAACCATGAATCATGGGGGGGAAAGGGATTGTAAGTAATGGAGACTGAGAATCCCATTGCTAGCAATATACCCAACCATGTCGACCTCCTCATGGTTCTTCCTGGAAACTATCATAGTTAATTCCTGATGAATTCATCATGATGGGCTAACAGGCCTGTTTTCATTCTCATCTATCACCCTTCACTGGTGCTCCGCCAGTATATCTCGTTAGCGCGGGCGGGGTTGCCATACCATTTTCACCCATAAAAAAAAAACATCAATCATGTTAATCAAATTATGTCAGCCTTTAACTCTCCACTGCTAAACATATGCTTCCGCCTTGAGGATTTTACCAGTACTTGCCATGTTTAGCAGGCGGATTAGCATTTGCAGTCAGGCTTTAGAAATGTTTAAAGAGGGACGCTGCTGCGCATCCCTCGCCCTCCCTTAGTCGCCTCTTACGACACCCACAGGAACGGAAAGGGTTGGCCTATTTTATGCCAAACCACACGGTCATAATTATTATACAGGTTGATAAATAAGTATTCATAGCATTAAATAAAGCTTTGCTTTAAGTATACCTAATTCTTTTCCTATCTTCACAACGTCCGTGGTACAATAGTAGGTACGTTGCTTAGTGTAAACAAAATCCCGAGTTCTATTCACGGTCGAGCTAATTTAGGAAACTAACATTTGAAGATTTTTCTCTAATATATGTATTTTGTAGTTTATCTGGAGATCTTTTTCTGCTTTCTCATAACATGTAATCCTGAGTAAGGACCGAGCAATTGACATTTTATATTACATTTTCTATTTTATTATTGAAACTTGGATAAGTCACCAAAAATTCATTTGAAGTCAAATATTAAAAATCACTTACCGCAGCAAATCTTGCACGCCATTTCTCATTTTAACGCTGACACTTTTTAGAATTTATTATTATTCGCCTCAAGAAAACAAGATAAGGTTTATAACTACGGTTTATGGGGTAATAGATGTTTTAAAGGCTTTTTCCGGACGCGGAATATAACCCAATTTGCATCAATGGCCCGCATCTGTTCCCACGAGTGTTTATAAAAGAAAACTAATTCGCCTCAAAATCATTTAATTAAAGAAAACGTCAGCGATAAGAAATAAATTATAATAAAAAGACATCTGCTACAATCGTATTGTTATTAAAATGTAACGTTTGTTAATATTTATTGATTTTGAAAATTCACATTTATCATAATTCGAACTTGATAGTTAACACAACTGTGCAACAGCAACAATAAAGTTAATTGAAAAATATAGACAAAAACGTATACTTTTATATTTTAACTAGCGATCCGCCCTGGCTTCGCACGGGTGCACACTATATAACATCACATTAGAAACCTCTAAAATTATCAGTGTTTCTCTACTATATTACGCATGTATTATACATATAAACCTTCCTTTTGAATCATTCTATCTATTAAAAAAAAACACATCATAATCCATTGCATAATTTTAAAGATCTAAGTATACATAGGGACAGACAGATGAAAAGCGACTTTGTTTCAAACTATGTAGTGATAGTGATAGTGATAGTGATCTAAGTACGTATAAGGCAATAATATTCCAAAAAAAATTTACGGGCAATTTTTCTAAACAATTGATGCCTGTCTATATAACCTAATATAAAAGTTATCGTGGCTGTTTATTTGCCATGTTATGATAATTCTTACACACGTAAATTATATTTGTTCTATGTTTAAAAATACATTTGCTAACCATTTGCGTAACATTACATCTTCTATTCAAGAGTTTGCATATGCAAATTAGTTTAAAAATTGGGAACCCTCTTTGTTTTAATTTTCAAACGAATAACAAAACCTGTTCATTTAAACAAACATTTCTATGATGAGTAATTATATGTTAACCAAAGAGATTCCAAATAAATAGAGCTAAATCGAATTTTTTTTCAATATAACACTCGTAAATATATCTTTTGATACTGTCCTTAATCTATTCAATTTAGTTCTGTATTCTGTCTGACTTGACAACTGGACACGTTATGTTAATATAAAAGGTTTAATATTCTTTATATACCCAAAAAGGAAAATTCCTCTATTTCATATATTATATAATATTCTTTTAAAAGAATGCTAATGCTCTCGTTTTCACCCTATATTTATTATTCTATATGCGTCATCTTTATTTACATATTCTATACGTTATTCCATGATGAATGCTCGTTCCACAGAACTTAATAATAATTAACGTAAGAACAATTAACGAAAGCATATTCTGAAAGATGGCACTGAGGCTACTCCGTCGTCATCCCGGATAGTCACTCAGATATATGCTTTCGGGTTGGTCAGCCCTTACCAACACTGAGTACATGCACAGACATAAACATTCATTCCGAAATTCAACATTCCGAAGCGGCTCACTCCCGGGAAAGATGCAGAAAGCGGTGCTCTTACTACTCACATAGTACTCGTATGCTGATTTCTCTCCTTAGGCACTGAACCTCGGCCGACTGTGCTTCTGTCGGGAGTTAGGTTGCCATCTCCTTTTCTTAAGAGAGGTATGAATTTTGTTGAAAATGTAAATCATAATAATAATCTTTATTATTACAAGTTACAATGGCCCAATTTGTTAGTAACATAATCTTAGCCTAATATTAGTACATCTTACAATAAATCTTTTACGCATTGTGGCATAAATCTATTCGACGTGCGCTTATGCAAACATCCCCGATGCACTACAAAAATGTGGCAATCCCCAACAATACAACTGTATGCATTATTATATTGAATACTGAGGTCGTTGTAGGATTTTTGGGTATACCTAGCCCAGACAGTTTGCTGATGTTCAATTATTGTATAATACTAATCAAAAATTGATTGAATGTCTAGATTTGTTACTAATTTCATTTAAAAAGCGTTTATATAATAATATCAATAACACTTATTTACTTTTTCAGTGAATCCTATAAAACAGACTATAGGTATAACTAGAATCGAAATTTCACGAGATGCTATTTTAAGTTAATTCGCTTAATTTGTATAAACAAACCTGAAATCAATTACAAAATATTATCTCCCAGATTAACTTAATTACAAATTGAACCCGATATTTAATTTGTACAAAATAATCTTATCACTAGACCTTATCACTAACTCAGAATGTTATTAAAATGTACTTTTTGTAAATCAGTTAATCTATCATTAAATTGCTTGAGAGACACCATAATGAATGACCTATAGGTATATTATATTAGGAGTACAAATAAGTTTCCGCCGTTTTTTAACACAAATTAAATATTTATTATAGAAGAACGGTAATATAGATTTATATAAAATATTGCCCATCACTTGCAACCACTTTTTCCCATCTCTCAGGCAGCATTCGAATTCCACGTCTGAAGAACTCCTTGTCTTTTGAGGCTATCCACGAATCAACCCAATTTTTGGTATCCTCATAAGATGTAAACCGCTGCGTCGTCAGAGCATGTGCCATGGACCGAAACAGGTGATAATCGGACGGTGCAATGTCTGGTGAATACGGCGGGTGGGGTAACACTTCCCAATCAAGTGTTTCCAAGTACTTTTTACGGGAGCCGCAACATGTGGACGAGCATTGTCATGCAGAAGAATAATTTTTTCGTGTCTAGAATAGTATTGAGGGCGTTTTTCTTTCAGAGCTCGGCTCAATCTCATCAATTGTGTTCGATAGAGGGCTCCAGTAATTGTTTCGCTTTAAGCAACTCATAATACACTACACCTAGCTGATCCCACCAAATACACAGCATAAGTTTTTTTCCGTGAATATTCGGTTTTGCTGTTGATGTTGACGCGTGGCCAGGTAATCCCCATGATTTTTTTCTTTTTGGATTGTCATAATGTATCCAATCACCAGTTACGATACGATGTAAAAAACCCTTTTTTTTATGTCTAGCTAGCAGCATTTCACTTAAGCATAATCGGCGTTCAATATCTCTCGGCTTTAATTCGTACGGAACCCAATTTCCTTGTTTATGAATCATTCCTAATGATTTTAAACGATGTGAGACTGCTTGCTGAGTGACTTCTAATGTTAGAGCAAGTTCTTTTTGTGTTTGAGATGAATCCTCCTCCAATAATTCCTCCAATTCTGCATCCTCGTAAATTTTTGGCCTTCCACTGCGATCTTTGTCTTCTACGTCGAAATCACCGTTTTTAAACTTTTGAAACCACTCTCGACACGTTCTCTCACTCAAAGCACCCTCACCATATGCTTCTACGAGCAATTGATGCGCCTTAGCAGCAGATTTCTTTAAATTAAAGAAGTAAATTAATATTTCCCGCAAATGACGCTTATTTGGCTCAAATTTTGACATTTTCAAGTTATAAAAATTATATTTTACCAATATCAAATCAATAATATTAATAGGTTATGTTGGTCTTGAATGTCGAAACTATTTTTTAAGCCGGTTATCATCTGCGAAAGCTAACCGAAACTCCGTGCCGCGCCA